ATCTCTCTTCTCGAATTCTTTATTTTACAAGTTATAAACTTCTGTTCCATATGGAACTTAATTATACATTGTTTTCAGAATCATGCATATGATGGATCCTAGGAGCCATGCAATCATCAAAGTCTAATGATATACTATTTTTTACTTAGATATTATTTGTATAGAAGGAAGAAAACATATATTTCAGATTCCAGCTGCCATTTCTTAATTGATGCAATATGTTTACTTGCTTTTTTAATACATTTTTACTATCACTTCATGTCAAATTTGTCGATAAACAAAGAAGTTATGTTGTACACAATAGCAGAGTTAAGAATAAAATTGTAAGTTCTAAAAGGGAGTTATAATACGGTTGTAAAATATAAATTCGAATGAAATTGAAGTAAAGGTTTTATATCTTGCGATGATTGTTTGAAAAAGTGTACGCATTAGATGTGGTGCACTTTTGAGAAATGATAGTAAGGCTATGGGATGAAAAATGAAAATGATTATTATACGACTGGGAGATTTTATTTTTACGATAGATGTGCTTCAGAGATAAAATATAATTCTTTTTATATGCCTAGGTCAAATCATTTTTTTCACAAGACACCCCCTTTCATAAGATGAATGACTAAGTTTTGATGTCAAATCAGTGGTTTTGTTTGGTATTTATTTTTCATCGCAGTTCAGTTTTCGTATCTAACCTTAATGTTATCTACAATAGAATATAATAATAACGTAGCAAAACTTTTTTTACCTACTACGGTCTATTTTAAAGAAATTAGTTTATACTTCGTCACATTTATTTGCTTAGTTTATATTTCATTAAATTAGTTCATTTGTTGCATTGAAGTTTGAAAGAATTTAATTTTTAGTCTTAGGCTCTGCAAGTTTAATATACTGTGGAATCTATTTTTAGGAAAAGTCGTTTTGTGAATTCTGTAATATTTTGTGAAAATAATCCTGAAAAAAATTTTTTTTTGTAAATGTAAATTTCTTTTTAATTTTAATTAAAAAGTAGATCAGATTTTATCAAAAAAATATAAATCATTATTTAATTTAATATAAAAAATAATTTTCCTGTTTGAATTTCAAAAAAATTATTTTTGTATGTTTAAAAGCAAACTTTAGTTTAATCAAAAGTACTGTCCTAGAATTGCACGCCTTAAATTCTAGAAAAATAATTAAAAAAAAAAAATTCTTTCAAGTTTTTTCGATATACTCGAAAAAACTTAAAAATTGTTATTTTTTTAAAGTTATTTTTTGTTTAATTATAAAAAGTTATTATTCGTTTAATTAAGTTAAAGCTATTTTAAAGTTAAAATTATTTTCGTAAGTTAAAGCTATTTCATATGTTTAGTTTTCGAGTATTCATACTCGAAAACTAAACATATTATTTTAAGAAATAGTGACACAAACCTTTTTTCTTAAAATATGTTTTTAAGTCACGAGAAATATTAGTTTTTGCAAATCATTAAAAAATTGGTTTTGCGGTTGAAATGAAAAAATTTTGTTTAAAAATTTTAGTTTTTATGCAAAATATTCCTACTCATTTCAATAAAATGATTATTTTTAAGGAACGTGTGTCTTTTTTTGTAGTAATTTTTTTTAAATTTAAATTTAAGACAGGTATTTTTTTTTAATATAATGAAAATATTTCTCCAAAAAATATATTTATTCTTTAATTTGTGTATTATAGCTACGCTTAAGCATGAATGTTTATAATATTTTGTGAAAGTATCTGCGCCAGTAAAAATGAGATTCGCAGTTCTCAAATTAAACAATTACAAACTTGAAGAAAACGTCTTATACTAGAGTTGTATTCTTCAAGTTTAACAGTTACGTGCAGTTTTAAATTGAGTTATGCATTCCAAAACTTCTATAAAAAAAAGTAATCAGTATGACGATAAAATGATCTCGGAGGCATTTAAATGTTAATATGATATTGGATAAAGATTTTATTCTTCATACGAATATGCAATTCCATATGTATCCTTAGTTTAGATAAAAAATATGCTGCTCAGCTTAACGCGAACGCCTGTTAATGAAATGCAACTTAACTCTGCATTCCTTACATGGGTCCTCGAACATGATGAAGAAAGTTAACGAGAAATAATGAACAAGGATAATGATTTTCCCCTCAACATTATAATTTTCAAACAACTTCGTCCAATTTTAATGAACACAGAATTAAGATTAAAGTAGAATAGCTTATCATATCAGACATATGCTGAAAACTATTTCTTTCAAGTGTGTTGGTTTCAAAACATTTTAAGAAACTAACCTCAATGGATTGAAGTATGAGGTCAAGTAGTTAACATTATATATGAATTTAGTTAAATACAGTAAAAATATGAAGAAAAAAATGAAAAACTCAATTTGGTTATCACTTTCTGCTCCTCATTTACAGATCACAATTTAAAGAAATGTTTTTATCAACAATGGCTTTGTCACTATTTAGAATTAAAATACAAATATTTTTTCTCATACTCTTTTAACATTGAATAATTATTTTCAGTGAACCTTGAAAATAACATGGTTAATTTTAACTAAACTGAGGTCAGCAATCATCTCCACTGAGGTCAACATGCATCTCCACTGAGGTCAACATGCATCTCTAAATAACCATAATTTCTCTTGTATTTTAAAGAGCTAATATCGGAAGCTGAAGTTTAGCAATCGACTTATTTTGAAATGAAGGGGAAAAAGTATTTCCTAAAATTTATGTTTCACTAACTTTTAGAAAGTATAGCTTAATTTGAGTAAATTCGCAAAGAAATTGAAACGTTTAAGAGAAAAAAAGTAATGACTTGTGAAAAGCTATTCAGTAAACTGACACTTGCACACGAAATTAAAATGCTCTATAAAAAAACTCCTAACAGTTGGACAATTTCCAATTAAGACACGAGTTGTCTCAGCTAAACTAAGCTTTATTTAATGGCACTGTTTAAATTTTCTAAGCTATAAAATCCCACTATTTTTCTTTTTATATGTGAAAAATAAATACAAAATTGGAGAGATGATAAATATGTATGCAAACACATAGTTCGTATTGATTGCATACAATACTCTATACTACTGATTAAATAATATTTAATTGAAAATCATAGTTATTAAAAACTCGACTGTACCTCACATGCGCCGGAATCTGTTGAACCGGGCTGTTAATATGTTAAATTATATTTCGTTCTCTACATAATCTGATCAGAGGGTGCTACAACTGAAGTCCGGATTGACATCCATATAAACATATATNTGTATATGTATGTGTGTGTATGTGTGTATATATATGTATATATAATGTTAAAAAGCAGGCGTACAGTTTAATATAAATAGAACATAGATTGAATTGTCGATCGCAAAAGCATTTTATAGCTTCAAAAACAATTTAATGAGAGAAATTAACTGAAAGTAATTGAAAAAATTTAAAACATATCAAACATTTAGCATATTATTTCGCATAGTACATAGCCCTTAAAATAGAATAAGTTATTTGAATAGCAATGTAGTAATATTTAGCATTAGGGTAGTTATTTTATGAGAATAATTTTTTTATCCAAGGATTTGTTTGAAATAATTAAATTTTTTTTTTTTTTTGAATTTTTCCTTGTTTTCATGACTTTCTAATACGCATGCACACATACTGAAACTTCATTTTGCAGCTTTCTTAAAAGGCACGTTGATGAAAGTCGAAAACGTTTTGGCGCCAAAAATTCCTTTCTCAAGCTGATCAAATGTGTAATCGTGGGCAACAAAGTATACAATATATATAAAGTTTCTGGGAAATAAGTTACTTTTTCTCTAACAGAATCAATTGTAGTTTACACGTGGCTATATATCTTTTCAAAACTTATTCTTACTAAATCATTGCGATGAGGCAAAATTAAGGAATAGTTTATTTTAAATCTTTAATATGTTCTTGAAATTATTAACTATGATTATAAAATATTTGTATCCATAAGCTGAATCACTTTTATCACAGTTTAAAATAATTTTTTTCCTATTGAATTTGTAATGCTATCAATACAGAACTAGATCAAAGCTACGTATGAAATATTACATCTTGAAAAATGTTAATATTGCAATTAGACAAAATTTGGGAATAGTTTATTTAAAACTTTAATATGTTCTAGAAATCATTAACTATGATTATAAAATATTTATGTCAATAAACTGAATAATTTTTTTCATAGTTCAAAATATTTTTTCTACTACGGAATTTGTAATGCTATCAATACAGAACTAGATCTAAGCTTCGTATGAAATATTACATCTCGAAAAATGTTAATATTGCAATTAGACAAAATTTGGGAATAGTTTATTTAAAACTTGAATATGTTCTAGAAATTAATAACTATGATTATAAAATATTTATGTCAATAAGCTGAATCATTTTTTTCATAGTTCAAAATATTTTTTTTACTACGGAATTTGTAATGCTATCAATACAGAACTAGATCAAAGCTACGTGTGAAATATTACATCCCGAAAAATTTTAATATTGCAATTACACAAAATTAGGGAATAGTTTATTTAAAACTTTAATAAGTTCCAGAAATTATTAATTATGATTAGAAAATATTTATATCTATAAACTGAATCAATTTTATCACAGTTTAAAATAATTTTTTTCCTACTGAATTTGTAATGCTATCAATACAGAACTAGATCAAATACATCTACGTACGAAATATTACATTCCGAAAAATACATTTAGAAGTTCAGTTTTCTTCTTAAAACTTTTTATAAACTTCACTTAAGTCAAAGTACAAATTGTAAGTTACAATATAAGATTTTTTTGAAACATAAAACCAAACTAAATTATTTGTAAAAAATACTAATATTTTTTAAAAACAAAAACAAATATATACTCAAATCCAATGATAGTTTCTATATAGAGCAGTTGATTTCTATATTTATTTTCTTACAGAGTTTATGACATTTGATTTTATTTGTGTTTCTTAAATTTCTATCTTATGAAATTATATAAACAAAAAAGAATTTTTTTTAAAACTCACCGACTGTATATAGCAAGGCTTCCAGTGTAATCAGACCAAACAAAATAGCCATTTTAAAGGCATTTATAAAACTTTCAAAAAGTCCGTGTAGCGGGCCTGTAAAGCGGGAAAAAGCCACAATCCTTGCCGTCTGCATTTAGGCAATCTTTTTAAATAAATATTAGAATGCATAACTAAACTCGAAACATTTTCCCCCTTTTCTCTTTAAAAAACATTCAGAGAAAAATTGAAAAAATTGTCATTCGCGCACATTTGTTTCTCACAATAATATTGCCATAAACTGAATTTTTGTTTTCCACTTAACGCACAAACCGGTGAAAAAAAGTTGTAACTGATTTTTCCACCGATACACTTCGGCACAGAGTTACGATGAGGTAGACACACGAGGTTTCGAGGATGAGTTCCGGAGTCTACGATATGACGTAACAACTCGTCAGAACCACTAGTACAGGCGGGGAAGTCCTTTGGAGATGGCAAAGTGCCGGTTGCCGGTAGACTTCGCTCAGAAGAATAGCAAGAGATGGGGAAGCATATCTCTTAAATTGTAATGTTTGGAGCAGTCGTAAACTTGAGTTTTATTTGCTTTTAAAAACTTAAAAGAATTTTTCCGTTATTGTTGATGAAGCAAGGAGATTCATATGAAATGTCGTAAGAGGGCGCCACTCAACCAGCTGGCACAGTCGACTTTTCATATCTAGGGACAAATCGATTCTTTTCAATATCCGATTCTTTCCTTTTTCTTAACCCCGAAGATTTATATATATATTTTTTCCCCAACTCAATAAATTCACCTAAAAAATATAATAACTTTTTTTCTGCAACTCTAATTAGAGAAGAAAATTTTACCTCTCATAAAATGAAAATAATTGCTGAGTTTTCTCAAAACTTTAGTTGTTTAATATATATATATATATATATATATATATATATATAT